AAACAAAAATTTATCCCATTAGAAACGATTCTACTATATCAGTCACAACAACCTCTTAAAGCAGTCCAGATTAGATTGGCCCTTCACACCCAACAAAGCAAGATTACATGGAGTGGGGGTGTCCAAAGGTCAGTCTTCACAGTAATTGGTGTGCAAAGCATTTACTTAAGGTACCGGAAATCATGTGGGGACTTCCCTTAAGAGCTCTTAGTTCTCCTTTTTAAAGTTGTGTCACTTTACCAGAAATGTCAGTTTAGAGATTGCATGGGGAAATAGAGTAGGGAATTATAAACTAGCATTCCAAAATTAAAGTCCAACTCAAACTTGTACAAAGCTTTTTTTTTAAAAAAAATGGGATTTGTCCAATGCGTTGATCAAAATATTGATTTCAAAGCAAGTGTCATTTGGGCTCAAGAGTTGTACAAAAAATAATCCTCTAAAACCATATGCACTTAATTTTTCTAGAAGCACCTGCCAAAGTAGATTTTAAAAGAACAATTTCATTAAAACGCATGAAGAAGTAACTTCAGTAATTAAAACTAAATGTCTGAGACACCACTCAAAAGCAAAAGCATCAGATCAGAAAAAGCAACTAAAGACTTAATCCCCTTCATTTTCATACAGTCAGCAAAAGCATTGTGGAACTGGATAAGTAGAGTGTTGGTACCAATCCTGCACACAGAAACGAAAGCTTCAAGTTTAAACCAAACAATGAATAGCAGATTCAAAATGTCCTCTCGCTCCCTCTCCCCAACCACTAGTGAAGAATAATTAACATGTCCTATTCCATATCCCACCCCCCCCTTATTTCAACAAGTGCAATAGCAATACTCATTGTATTCCTTTCTATACCAATTCCTGTCCAATAGGAAAAGCAGGACAAGCACATTTCGAACAAGCTACAACCACAAAAGTTAAAATTCCAGTATGTACTCCAACACAATGCCACTGTGAAATCGCAAAAAAACTACTCCAATTTCATATAAAGCATTTTTGCTAACAGTTGAAGGGAAGCACATTTCCTTCAAGCATTGCCAAGGACAAAAGTCTCCAGCTGGAAATTTTGGAGGTGTTCTGCAGCACAATAAGCAGATACTTGTTCAGATGGTCTTTTTTTAAAAAAACTATTTATCATAAATACATTCTAGGAAAGTGATTTGGATTTTTTGCAGAGAATTTTTTTTCAAAAAACATATTATCTCATTTCCTTCCCCCCCACTTTTTTTTCTGACTTCCAGGATGCACACTCTTTGCAGTCCAGCTGTTTTTAACGCTCAAATAATCTGACCATGCAATGGTGTGTACAGGTGCTTCACTGTTCACCGTTTATGTGCTCAGGACACATTCTTAATAAAAATAACAGCATTTGATATAACACCTTGTACAATTAAGACATCTCAAAGTGCTTCACAGGATATATTGTAAAGTGGAATGACTGAGATTTTGTGGGCAAAACGCAGCAGCCGATTGCGCACAGCAATCTCCCACAAAATCATGGAGTGAGGTGTTTTTGGAAGGATTATTATCACCAGAAAGCAATCCACCAGTCGCCTCAACAACCGGGTTCCTACTTACTGCTAAGTAAACAGAGGGACGTGGAGTAAGAAAACTTGCCTAAGGTTTTGCCCTGCCCGGAATCAAACTTGGGTCCTCTCACTTGCAAGGCAAGCATGCTAACTACTACCTTACAGGATTCTACTAATTCCAGGCACCCAAATAAGTCAGCAATGAATTTGTTAACAGCGATCTGCAAGTATTGAAGCTGTGAAAAATGTTGTGACTTTTCTGCCTATCTTAGACAAGAACAAAAAATATGTAAATCCATAGCAGATTGTTACCCATTTTCACTGGGTAATTACCTGGGGAAAAGGAAAGTTTCATGAAATTTCTCACCCCTTTGATTTTCTTCCATGTTTTGACAAAACACTAAAACAACTGTGTTCCTTAGGAATATTTTGCTTTCATTTAATTATTTTGGAATTCCCACTTCGAACATCGATGCTAACAGTAAATGGGATTGAAAAGAAAATTATTCCAATTTAAGATCAGGTTTTAAAGGCATGAATTTGTGATAGAAATTTCCCTAATTGTTTTTTTTACTCGTACAAGCCTAGATTTACAACTACATATTTCACCCTGGGTAGAAATGATAAGATTTCAAGTCATTTTTTTAAAAAAAACATACACGGAAGAAGACTAACCACAACATGCAACGAAGTGAAGTTTCCTCACAGGAAACCAACTTAGAAAGATGTTAGTGACCAATCCATTTTCTTACACTCGTTGAAAAAGTGACCAGATGAAAAGGACACCATGACATTACAAGTTACAAAACACTTGTCATCGAATATGTATTAAATACTATATCTAAATCTTAAGTCCCTTTAGATGTAGCATTTTAGTGAATATTTGACAAGCCACAAGCTCAATTCTCTGGTTACAAAGCTCACATACTTTTAAGGCATCTGGAATTCTAGACTGTATTTTAATGTTACCCATTCAGCAGAAAGTGGGCATTTGGGGTAAAATGTTCTGAACACCTCAACTATTTCAAAATCAAGGGCATTTCAAACTCAGGCCTGCTATTTCCCAAATGGATAAAAAAAAGTAGTTTTTGCTTCTCCAACACACTTCAATCCTGAATTTGTTTATTTTGAAACTGGAATCTTACGTTGACTTTGTACATCCCTTTCAGGCAAGCAATTCATGCTAGTGAGTTCTGTACAGTGCTCATTTCTCCAGGACCTCAAAATGACTTCTATCTTAAATACAAGAGGAGCAGAGGGAACCACATACCCTGTAAAAATGGTAAACACACCAGGCTCATTTTGATAGCATTAATTGCCCTTGATTTGTCCAGAAAATAGAAACTCACATTTCTCTCAAATTCCCAGGATTTTCTTTTAATACTGGTATAAGGTTAGTGTTCAGGCAACTTTACAAACTTCCTGCTACTGCAACAATAATCACAAATATGCAAGATGTCCTATCTTTGTACTCATAATCAGCTATTTATCCATGAAATGTAGCTTTCTACATACACAACTACAGAAAATAATGAATTTGAGATCTGGTCTGTACAGCAATAAAAACAAATACATGTGAAACCAAAAGCAATCTGATACTGTAAAGTCTTTCCTTGGCATGACCATTTCACAATTCCTTATGGGTGTGATTAATTTCTGAATCAGTAAGGAAGGAAACTAGCCATTCCCACCTCGAAACTTTGCCCTGATGACGTAGTCTTAATTCAACTTAAATTGAAGACAGGTAACTTGTGCAACCGTTTGTGATCTGTGATAAATGCAAATACGGCTGCTGCTCTTTACACCACTGAATATGAAAGTTGGCCAAGATCGCAAACCTTGACAGATGTTTACAAGAGTGTCCCGCAAGTGTGAACATGAATCAGTTTGATTAATTCCCTACATATCATATCAGATCCCTTTCTCCAACAAGCCTGCAGTGTTGCTGCTTGTTCCGCAGTTCTTGCTGCATTAAAAAGCTCCTCTATAAACAGCTGACAGATGAACGTCTTCAGTCACATCTGTCTCTTTCTGACAACTCAAAAAGCCTTCCATTTACTGAGGGCAACCACTTAAGCTATTTAATAGAATCAAAATTCACATAGATGTATATAGAAGAATGACTATCAATCAACCAGAACAATGACTTTCCAAATCAATAGTACCAATCCCTTTCCCGATAAAATGTTCAAGCACGTACCACTCCATTCCCACAATTTAAACAAAATTGGGTCTTTTTCTTTGAGTGAATAATTTTATTTGCATTCCATTTTAAGACAGCGCGATTTAACTTCCTCATCACTGCTCGAATACCAAGAAACATCTAAACAGGAAACCTCTTCACTGCATCAACAGCAGAGCTTTTTTTTCTCTTACCCCCCCCCAACCACCCCTTTTTTTTCCTTTTCAAGGGTGAAAAGAAAGCGTTGGTGCATTTTTTAAAAAAAAAATAAAGGCAAAGCAACAAAAACACTTGCAGTTAAAAAAAATAAAAACATTGTTCAATGTAAGCAGGAATTTCTGGAGGGGAGAGGGTGGGAACCGCCTCCAAACTGCGGCATTTGCTGGGACATTAACAGGGCACAATCACTTGATTGCAGCAAAAGCAGCAACAGAAATCATTCCATACAGATAATATATACACATACACACATATCTCGACTGCACTGCCAAGGAGCAGGATGTCCTCCCTTACCCCGGGGAAAAGACTGCAAAGGCCCCGCCCGGGCTCCAGCCGGCGGGTGTTCCCCCTCCCACCCCCAGGGAGAGAAAGAAGGAGATAGAGAGGGATAGAAGAATAGATAGAGGATACATAGAGAGAGAGAGAAAATAGAGTGGATGGGTTCGATAGAGAAGGGGATCGATGGAGAGGGAAAGGGAGATGGGAGAGATGGGAGGGGGCGGTGGGGAAAGATAGACAGAATGAGAGACGGGGGAGATAGAGAAAGAGGGAGGGAGGGAGAGAGGGAGGAGGGAGGGGGGAGAGAGGGAGATAGGGAGGGGGGGAGAGAGGGGAGAGAGAGGGGGATAGAGAAGGAGGGAGGGAGAAAGAGAGGGAGGGAGGGATAGAGGGATGGGGAGAAGATCGGAGGCTTCTCCTGTCCCCGGTTCACCTCCGGGGCCGCCACCCGCTCCACGGGGAAGGAGATTGAGGGGATATTGCTGTCCCCCTCCCTGCCTCCCAATTCTCCCCCAAAAGCACCGCAGTGGCTCCTAGTGACCCCCAATGACTGGTCAGGGCCGGGGCTGAGGCCTACGCCCCCGGGATACCGAGCGGTCGCAGCTAGGCCTCACCCAGCCCGGCCCAGCCCGGCCCAGCCCGGCACAGGCCCGGCCCGGCGTCGCCTTGAACTAACCCTCGGCGACAGCCGCGCTGCCCCCACACTCTCTGTCTCCCTCACATTCGCCGCCGCCATTCCTTCCCCCCCGGTTCCCTCTCCCGCCTCACGGCCCCACCGCCACTTATTCACTCACCCTCCCACCGAGCAGCGACAGTCAGTCTGCACCGGGCGTTGGCAGCTGCACGGGGTCTCCCGCACTGCTTTAAACCACAGCAGGGGCACGCACGCACATCCACCACTGACATCATCACGTCTTCGGGTTTCTCTCCACACGTTCGCCTTCTCCACTTAGCCCTCCCCCACCCAGATACCCCCTCCCCCCCACCCAGATACCCCTCCCCCCACCCAGATACCCCCTCCCCCACCCAGATACCCCCTCCCCCACCCAGATACCCCCTCCCCCCCACCCAGATACCCCTCCCCCCACCCAGATACCCCTCCCCCCACCCAGATACCCCCTCCCCCCCACCCAGATACCCCTCCCCCACCCAGATACCCCCCCCCACCCAGATACCCCCTCCCCCCCACCCAGATACCCCTCCCCACCACCCAGATACCCACTCCCCACCCAGATACCCCTCCCCCACCCAGAGACCCCTCCCCCCCACCCAGATACCCACTCCCCCACCCAGATACCCCTCCCCCCCACCCAGATACCCCCCCACCCAGATACCCCTCCCCCCACCCAGAGACCCCCTCCCCCACCACCCAGATACCCACTCCCCACCCAGATACCCCCTCCCCCACCCAGATACCCCCTCCCCCCACCCAGATACCCCTCCCCCCACCCAGATACCCCCTCCCCCCCACCCAGATACCCCCCACCCAGATACCCCCTCCCCCCCACCCAGAGACCCCCTCCCCCACCACCCAGATACCCACTCCCCCACCCAGATACCCCCTCCCCCACCCAGATACCCCCCCCCCACCCAGATACCCCTCCCCACCCAGATAATAATAATAATAATAATCCTCGCATTTGATATAGCGCTTTTCACGTCGGGAGGACGTCCCAAAGCGCTTCACAGAACACACTGGAACGTGAATTGACTGTATATTTGTGGGCGAACGCGGCAGCCAATTGCGCACAGCAATGTCCCACAAACAGTCGTAGATTGAAAATGACCAATTATTATTGTTTTTGGTTTTGGAGGGACTATTATTAGGCTCTGTGTGGAGTAAGGAAACTTGCCCAAGGTTTCGCCCTTTGCCTGGAATTGAACTCAGGTCTCTCGCTTGCAAAGGACTCCACCCCCAGATACCCCCTTCCCCACCCAGATACCCCTCCCCACCCAGATAGCCCCTCCCCCACCCAGATAGCCCCTCCCCCCACCCAGATAGCCCCTCCCCCACCCAGATAGCCCCTCCCCCACACAGATAGCCCCTCCCCCACACAGATAGCCCCTCCCCCACCCAGATAACCCCTCTCCCCACCCAGATAACCCCTCCCCCCCACCCAGACACCCCCTCCCTCACACAGATACCCCCTCCCCCCACCCAGATACCCCCTCCACCACCCAGATACCCCCTCCCCCACCCAGATACCCCACCCCCACCAAGATAGCACCTACCCCCACCCAGATAGCCCCTCCCCCAACCAGGTAGCCCCTCCCCAACCAGATAGCCCCTCCCCCACCCAGATAGGCCCCCCCCCACCCAGATAGCCCCTCACCCACCCAGGTAGCCCCTACCCCACACATGTAGCCCCTCCCCCACCAGGTAGCCCCTCCCCACCCAGATACCCCTACCCACCCAGATACCTCCTACCCCCCACACAGATATCCCCTACACCCCACCCAGATACCCCCTCCTCCCACACAGATACCCCCTCCCCCCACCCAGATACCCCTTCCCCCACCCAGATACTCCCTCCCCACCAACCAGATACCCCCTCCCACCCACCCAGATACCCCCTCCCCCCACCCAGATACTCCCACCCCCACCCAGATACCCCCTCCCCCACCCAGATACCCCCTCCCCCACCCAGATACCCCCTCCCCCCACCCAGATACCCCCTCCCCCCACCCAGATCCCCCCCACACCCAGATAGCCCCTCCCCATCCAGATAGCCCCTCCCCCACCCACATACCCCTCCCCCCACCCAGATAGCCCCTCCCCCCTCCCAGATAGCCCCTCCCCCTCCCAGATAGCCCCCCACCCAGATAGCCCTCCCCCACCCAGATAGCCCCTCCCCCACCCAGATAGCCCCTCCCCCACCCAGATAGCCCCTCCCCCCACCCAGCTAGCCCCTCCTCCACCCAGCTAGCCCCTCCCCCACCCAGCTAGCCCCTCCCCCACCCTAGCTAGCCCCTCCCCCACCCAGATAGCCCCTCCCCCCACCCAGATAGCCCCTCCCCCACCCAGATAGCCCCTTCCCCCCACCCAGATAACCCCTCCTCCCACCCAGATACCCCCTCCCCCCACCCAGATACCCCTCCCCCCACCCAGATACCCCTCCCCCCACCCAGATAGCCCCTCCCCCCACCCAGATAGCCCCTCCCCCACCCAGATAGCCCCTCCCCCCACCCAGATACCCCCTCCCCCACCCAGATACCCCCTCCCCACCCAGATACCCCCTCCCCCACCCAGATACCCCCCCACACCCAGATAGCCCCTCCCCCACCCAGATACCCCCCCACACCCAGATACCCCCTCCCCCACTCAGATACCCCCCTCCCCCACTCAATGCTCCCTTTCCCCTCATGCAACGCTTCATTCCTCTCACGTTTAGTGACTGTATATTTAGGTAAACCTGGAGGCCAACTTGCATACAGCACAGTAACACAAAACACAAGCAACTGTGAGGCAAATGACTAATGTATCTGGGGGATTGTTGGTCCCAGGAACAAACCCCTTTCCTTTTTGAATAGTGTCAGAATCTGTTGTGTTCACCTGAAGTTTTGATATCTCAACTGAAGGATGTCCAGGATAGCAGTAGAAGCTGCCTCTCTTTTTGAGTAATGCCATCGGATCTCTAACGTCCACCTGAACAGACGAGTTTAACATCTCTGAAAACGCATAGTTCCCCTCCCCAGTATTGCACTGGAGTGAGATGTTGTCCCAAGTAAGTCGCAACATGGGGCTTGAACCCACAACTGCATAAAAGTGTGCAAACAACCCTCCTTTATGGATCTGAGCTCTTGGGGATATAGTGAAAAGGATTCCTCCGATTTATTTGTAAAATCCAGGATCAAGTTGTGAGGTGGATTTGTGGCAAACACGGGAATCATCTTCAGGGGAGTAAGGGCTCCGACCTACACTGAGTTATCGCTAAGCACCCTGGAGAGGAGGTGGATTCACAGGGCCTCACATGATGACTTAGATTGGAGCAGCTGGTGCTGATTTAGCCTGGTATTACAGCATTGGTCTTGGACCTCATGAACATCAAGGTGGCTGGCATATCATAAGCTATCCTGTTAAAGTCCTCCCACCACGCTGAAGCCAGATGTCCACCAGATTGCTGATGAGGAAACTGAGGCTTGGGGGCGACAGTTGCTGGAAGGTTTTTACCTGGAATCTGAGTCTGTGAGGGCACATTCGTACATCCAGCACCTGGAATCCACCTCGATTGGTTTGTAGAAATCAGCTGCTGCTTAAACTTCCAACTCCACGTGATAGGAAGGGACATGTGCCCAAGCTGCGGACAGGAAGATGGTACCAATACTCTGCTGCATTTCATGCTGAGCTGTGTTGTCTACCGGGAAGCTCGCAGCGAGTTGCTGATACCTACAAACCACCTAGCGAGGGCCCAAACCTGTACTTGTTGGATGTCAAACAACCAACTATCCTCCATGGGAAAGGGGAGGTAAGCTTGGAACTGAAGTGGCTCCAAGCTGACATGTTTTACAATGGAATGTCGGAATCAAGCCAGCTCTGTGTGGTGGGCTAAGTAGTATAGTTCTAGCTGGATAAGCAGCGGGAAAGCTTGCTAGACAACAGTATCAATGGCAAGCTATTCGGTTTTTGCTGGTTAGACTCCAGAAGTTATCTCAATGCACACTCTTGTGAACCTGCACCAGATACTTTCCAGAATTAGGTAAGCAGGATGCATCCCTCCAGGGAGAGAGTGCACATTCCATTCCAACAATCTATCTCTAGTATTTCCAAGTGTAGGTGAGAACAACAACAACAAGATTCCATTTATTGAGCGCCTTTCACATCGGGAGGACGTCCCAAGGCGCTGTACAGTTGGGTCAGGACCCGAGCATTGGGGGGAAATGGTCAGGGTGAGGGGAGGGAAGGGAGGGAGCGAGGAGGGGGGAAATGGTCAGGGTAAGGGGAGGGAAGGGAGGGAGCGAGGAGGGGGTAAAGAGTCGAGAGGGGAGCTGAAGGCACGGTCAAAGAGAAAGGTCTTGAGACCGGCCTTGAAGGAGGAAAGGGAGGAAGCGGCGAAGGCACTGGGGATAGAGTTCCAGAGCCTCGGGGGTGAGAGGCTGAAGGCCCGGCCACCGATGGTAGGGCAGTTGGGGCGGGGGATGTGGAGCAGACCGGAGCCAGAGGAACGGAGGGTACGGGCAGGTAGGTAGGGGGATAGTAGGTCCGAGAGGGAGGAGGGAGCAAGGCCGTGAATGGCCTTGTAGGTGAGGATGAGGATCTTGAAATTGATCCTCTGGGGGATGGGGAGCCAGTGGAAGCGAGCGAGGGTGAGGGCGAGGGTGGGAGTGATGTGGGCGCGGTGTCTGGTGCGGGACAGTACACGAGCTGCAGAGTTCTGGATGACCTGCTGTGTGGAGGGAGGTGGCGGGAAGGCCGGCGAGGAGAGAGTTCCCATAGTCCAGCCTTGAGGTGATAAAGGTGTGGACCAGAGTTTCAGCCGCGTGAGGGGTGAGGTAGTGCCGTAGTCTGGCGACATTCCGGAGGTGATGGAAGGCGGTGCCAGTTGTGGTGCGGATATGAGGGAGAAAGGACAGCTCAGGGTCGGGGGGAACCCCGAGGTTCCTGATGGCTTTGAGAGGTGGAGAGTGCGGCCTTGGATGCTGATGCTGTCAGCGCCTGAGGTGCGGAGGCGCTGACGTGAGCCAATCAGGAGGGCCTCAGTTTTGCGCACATTGAGCTGAAGAAAGTTATCTCTCGTCCAGGACTCGATGTCGGACAGACAGCTGTCAGGACATCGGTGGTCGTGGAGTTGAGGGTAGAGGAGGAGAGGTAGAGTTGGGTGTCATCCGCATACATGTGGGAGTGAACCCCATGTCTGCGGGTGATGTCACCACAGGGGGAGCGTATAGAGGG